GAGGAGCAGCCCGGTTTAACCCTCTCCAGGATGAATCTGTTTGTTTTCCTAGCAGTCCATGGTACCTTCAATACTCTTCTCCAGCACCACAGCTCAAAGGCATCAATTCTCCTTCTGTCCTCCCTAGTCATTGTCCAACTCTCTGATGCATAACAAGTGATAGCAAAGACCATGGTCTGTATCATAATAATAATCAAAAGAGGAAAAAAAGAAGACAGGTGGGGTTTGAAGTTTCTGAAGCGCAGCACTCTCTCCCTCTAGTGGGGAGGAGAGGGAACGCTGAGTCCCTCCCCTTCTGCTGACTCAGCCCCTCTCCCTACAGTGTCTCACAAAGACAACAGCAGAAGACATTGAGGTCACTTGAGCATGAAGAGGGAGCTGCAGGCACCCAGTCATGGCAGAGATGATAAGAGAATCCTGTTGCTAGCTCTCTAGAATATTCCTCGAGCTGTGTCACCTGAAGAAGCTGGACCACAGCTGCTGGGTAGAACGTTGCATTTCCATTCAAGGGTGAGGGCACCCACAAGGTAGATTTAAAACAGTCCTCACGGATAAACAAAACGAGGGTATTGACCAAGGAATGGGCTGTTCCAGGCAGCATCTTGGCAAGTCGGGTTGGAGAGCTGGCAAATTCTGTCCCGAGAGTGTCCGGCCCCACATTACTTCAGCGCGGGCACTGTAATCAGGGGTCTGGCTGACACACTCAGAAGGGGTCACTACAGCAGACACTGATGAACTCCCAGATTGTCTATGCTGGACCCCGTGATTCCTCTGCAGCAGAGGTGGGCAGAGGAAGGGCAGGTGGGCAGGTGGTGGCTTGGGGTGATGCAAAGCCATGTGGGCACTAAAAAATCAAGTTGCTGGAAACCTGACAAGCGATTATTTTCTGAAAAAGAACTGAGGGGGGAAAAAGATGCTGTGTGACGTAAGTCAGTCACGAAAAGACAATTACGGGCTATGACCACCATTCTAAAAAGCTAAGAAAAGGTTTCGGCACAGAATCATTCTTTGATGGTTACTAGGGATGGGAAGGGAGGGAGAGTGGAATGAAAAGAAATAAGTTGGTTGAAAGGAAAGGCAATAAATGATAGGAGAGGGCTCAGACAATGTAACTAATCAATTACCTCCATCAGCAGCGATTAATGTCATGAAACCAATGTCCGTGAATGATCGTATGAAAACCCCCAATATAATTTATAAACCTTCACTGAACTAAACATAAAGCAAGAAGACAGTGGCAACCTGACAAGGTTTCCTTTATCATTTTCAGTGTTCAAAGTGCGCTCTTTCATGGGGTTATTGAAATATCCCAGAACATGTGTTATCTCCTTTGAGGTTAGAAAAAAACATTGCTTGGAGATTCTGGAATGAGGGGGCACAGGGCTTTGGTGGGAAGAGGAAAGAGCAGGGCTGCAGCATCAAAGGGGAGCTGGGGAAGGGCAGGGTGCACTTAGTACACAAGGCATATAACGCATGCAGCCAGGGAGAGGCTGGTCTGTGAAAGATCTGTGAGTGTATGCAAAGAGAGAGAGAAAGATAGAAAAGAGAGAGAGGAGAGAGGGAAGAGAGAGAGGAGAGAGAGGAGAGGGAAGAGAGAGAGGACAAAGAGGAGAGAGGAGAGGGAGAAGAGGGAGGAGAGAGAGGAGAGGGAGAAGAGGGAGGAGAGAGAGGAGAGAGAGGAGAGGGAGAAGAGGGAGGAGAGAGAGGAGAGGGAGAAGAGGGAGGAGAGAGAGGAGAGGG